ATGACTAAGTCTGTGAGTGAGGAGGAGGAAGAGCAGCCAGAGGTTCCTGGGGATGAAGAGGAGGAAGTTGGCCTTACACTTGAGTGTCTCTCGCAGGTCGTGAGAACTATTAAGGTAGTATAGGATACGACTGGTGAGTGGGACCCACAAATGATGTGTGCATTGCCGTTCTGGAATGCACTTGATGGAGCAATAGAAGCCTACAAAAGCCTCCTCATCGTATGAAAAGACAGTGCCAGCAACTGCCTATCATGATGTTCTTCAGCCGCGCACCCGGACACCCGCTGCCTACTCCTAGTGCTCCTTCTCCGGAAGAAGATGACGATGCACTTGCTGAAGATACTGCACCACCTGAAGACTCTCCTACTGAGGTCGTGCCTTTAGAGGAGCAGTAACCTTGCTCTTCTTTGCTGTGAAGTTCATTTCTTCATCTTCAATGCTTCATCATATAACGAGTTGCACTGTTTTCATAGATTAGTGGTTGTGTGTAAGAACTGTGTGTGTGTAATTAAATGTACAATAATAATATGACATTTGTAACCTCTAAGATGTCTTATTTTCTCTTATTTTGTCTAATATACTGGCTAATACGAGTGAAGTGGTGACTAAAGGGTGTTATTTCATGTCTAGAGGGCTCTAATAATGTTAAAAATGTATTTAAAAGGTTGTAAACATGTTTTCTATGCTTTAACTGTGAAAATATTCAATTTATAAATAAAGAATCCTACTTCGCAGAAATTCATTTATCACGGTAGAGTCTGGAACTGATTAACCACGATAAACAAGGGCCGACTGTATATACAAGTGGTGGACCATCATGCTGCAGATGAGTAGCTTTTTGTTTGGGCTATATAAGTAACCACTGTGGCATCACACTGATCCTTAGGAAAAACGGCTTCTGAGTTCCAAGTGACATACTTAGTGCCATGATAAATTGAGGATGTGTGTACAGTAGTCCCCCCTTATCTTTGGTGGATACGTTTCGAGATCCCCAGGGATGCCTGAAACCAGGGATAGTATATCGAACCTTATGTGTACTATGTTTTTCCTATGTATACATACCTACGATAAAGTTTAATTTATAAAATTAGGCATAGAGGAGATTAACAAATTAGTAATTAAGTGGAACAGTTATAACAAAATAGTATAATAAAAGTTATGTGAATGTGGCATTAAGCATTTTACTTGAACACAAGCATGGTGATACCACAACCGTTGATCAGATAACCAAGATGGCAACTACGTGACTAATGGGTACAGCGTGTGTACAGCATAGATACAAGGGAAGAGGAATGATTCACCCTCCCAGGAGGACTGAGAGGGATGGCGAGAGATTTCATTATGCTACTCAGAATGGCATGCAATTGAAAATTTATGAATTGTTTTTTCGCTTAACATTTTCTGACCATGGTTGACCGTGGGTAACTGAAGCCATGGAAAGCAAAATTGCAGATTAGGGGGGACTACCGTACTGTTACAATTTTTTTTTTTTTTTTTTTTTGGTACATGTAGTATCGTCCTTTATAGAGAAACAAGTGACTGGGAAAGCAGTTGACAGAGCTGAGCCAGAAGAGCCACATCCAGGACTGTCAGGGGATCATGACCCATTCAGTGTTTTGATGACACTTTTGAGTTACTAAAGACATTGCGAGACTTTCTAAATCATCGTTAGAAGATGAAATATTGCTTGTTGTGGTTCTGCAACAATTATTATTAATTTCAAAGAATTGAAACAGACCTTAGTTAAGTTGTAAATTGTCAGTAGACCCTTTCTCTATCCATCTGGATTGGTGCTCATCAGAGTAAGTCACTGAACACCCAAAGACCCCAGCCATGCTCCCACTTTTCTGCACAATAGAATTTCCTGAGCCTCTAGTGTGATCACCGAAAAACAAGCACATTACTACCGCTGATAAGGGTTCCCCTTTGAGCTAGAACATCAGCACCATCTCCTTTCGGCCAGGTGTCCTCCGACTGGACTGTTTATAAAATTATTGTTTTCCTTTTTTTGTCACGATTCAGCTTCAGTGATGGAGGTCTGGTAGTAGCAAGTGGCCTTTCTCATAATTAGGAAACAATCTTATGACAAGGTAAAGCGTGAAATTGTTCTCTGTGAAATGAGCGGGTCTTTGCGAGAGTGCCTCATTTCCCACGGCCACACGGGCAGCAGGATCCACAGAGCAGTTGGTGACCGGGCTGAACTTTCCCTTCTGGAGCCACGCAGCCCTACAGCTGCGGAAACACACACCCACTCCCCATCGCTGGTTGTCTGGTGGCTTTTCCAAGGAGCACTTTGAAGAGCGGAGAGCCCTGTGTCTGAGACAGAAGTGTTTTCCCACCTGAAGTGTAATTTCACACCTTGTGTTTCTCGGCAGATAAGTGCATAAAATAACACATCACACCGGAATAGAAAAAGATCGAGATGGAAAGAAAGCTGCAGGTTGTAATTTGGTTCTTATCGTACAATGCTCTCGTAGAGAACAGTAAATTGCAGAGACCTGGGTTTACACTTTTAAAAAGTTTGACTGGTTTGCGGTGGAAAAGTGAGCAGTAAACACTGATCAGCTGTCAGCCTGAACAGAATGTACAGAAATTGGAAAACACCATAACATTTAGAGAACACCTTAACAAAAAGAGAGAGAGAGAGCACACATAAGTTAGAGGTAAATGTTGTAGTTAAGAAAAAAGTCAAGAAATTGACACATGATTTTAGTAAAAATATAATTGTTTTAGGAGATAATATTCTTTGTAGTGATCCTTTCAAGAATTTTAGCAAAACTAGTAGGCAATACCAGTGATTTGGATATTTTCTTTTCTTCCGATAAATGACTAAACATAAGATGCTACTTAATGTTTTATAGCATTCTCGTGCAAAGGTTATAAAACAAGGGGTTGAACTATATTTTTCAAGTTTGAAAAAACTTGAGCCCAGGAGAAAAAAAAAAGTAGAGCCTCCTGGCTGGTCATGAACATTTATTATAAAATATTTAATGCTTATTGAATGTCTATGCTCCATGTTAGACCCTGGCCAAGCACTCGATACACTGATAAGCAAGGCGATGCCTCTTTCTACCACTGGGGTGCTGACAGTCTGCAGACAAGTAAACAAGCAATGAAATACTGGGTGTTAAGTGCTGAGATCAGCTAAAACTTGATGTATATTTTTAAAAAAAGTTTTTCAATTATAGTTTATATTCAGTGTTATTTTGAATTAGTTTCAGGTGTACAGCACAGTGGTTAGGCGATCATATACTTTACAGAGTGTTCCCCACGATATTTCCAGTACCCACCTAGCACCACACATAGAGATTATGAGATTACTGACGGTATTTCCTGTGCTGTACTCCACACCCCCACACCTATATTGTGACTACCAGTCTGTACTTCTCAATCCCTTCGCCTTTTCTCCTACCCCTCCAACCCTCCTCCCCTCCGGCCACCAGCAGTCTGTTCTCTGTATCTGTGAGTTTGCAAAACTTGATGTTGATGAATCCCATAGGAGTGTTATCTGAACTAGGGCCAGTGGGGAGGGGGAGTGGTTGGGTAAAATTCCTGGGTAAAGCAATGTCCAAACCAAACTAGTGAACAGAAGCCATGTGAAGGTGGGTGTCACTTGGAATATCGGAGCGTGTGTAGCTTGTGCCAAAGTGGAACAGGAAGCGAGCAGGTGGGGTTGGAGGGATGAGGGTAGTTCAGAATAGTTGCATTACAATGTGTAAAGGCAATAGTGGTGTGTGATAAGACTAGAAGATAAACAGAACCCAAGTATGTAGTCTATACAAAGAAATTTACTTTTATCCTGAGACTAGTGGGAAGTATTGACGGTTTTGTTTGTGCTTATTAGCGAGAGCGACATGACCAGATAAGCATTTTACAAATATCACTTTATCCAGGGACTGGTGTTCAGTGAGCAAGTGTGCAGCAATGCAGGTGAGAGACGCTGGCAATCTGAGCTTATGGTGAACCCCAACAGTTCAGTGGCATTGAGGGTGGAACAAGGTGGGTGGATTGGCTGCTATTTAGGAGGTAGAGTTGATAATATTTGGTGACTCATTGGCTGCAACAGGGTGAGGAAGCCAGTCTTGTAAAAAAATGTAGTCCTGTCTGGTCAGTGTGGCTCAGTGGTGGAGCATTGACTCATGTCCCTGGAGGTCGCTGGTTTGATTCCCGATCAGGACACATGCCCGGGTTGTGGGCCCGATCTCCAGTGGGGGGCATGCAGGAGGTGGCCAGTTGGTGTTCTCTCTCATCAATGTTTCTATCTCCCTCTCTCTCAGTTCTTCTCTCTCTAAAATAAAATATATATATATATATACATATATATATGTGTATATATATATATATATATGTATATATATATATATTCCTATTTCTGGTTTGGATCACTGAGGCGATGATGCTACCATTCAAAAGACAGGGAGCACTAGAGCAGTCCATTTTTAGGAGTTGAGATCATGAGTGTGAGATGTGTGTGGGATGTCCCTGAAGAGAAATGAGGGATTTGGCTGGACCTTGAGCTTGGGAGAGAAGTCTAAGCTAGAGATGCAGATTTGCTAGTTGTCATTGAGTAGGTGAGATGATCCAAAGAATATGTACACAGTGAGAAAAGAAGAGACTCTTTAACTCAGGCATAAAACAGTATTTTTAACTATGAAACAAAACACACACACACATATATATATAAAATGTGAATGAAAAACTGGACATGTCCTCAAACAGCACTGTACATGTGCCTTTGCACAAATTCACTCCTGTCCGTGTAGAGCTGCTAGTGAACATCAGCAAGGTGCCGAGAGTGGGCTGCATGAAGCATTATGCGTTCAAGGTCATAATCACTTTCCTTAATCATTCATGTAAGATGTGTTAGTCCTGCAGCAAGTACCAGGCCTAGGAATGCTGATCAGTATGTTAAGGAAAATTTGCTGCCCATGTAAATATTACACCTAGACCAGCAAAACAGGGAGTACTGATGTTTTCTTATTTCCATTTTTTTCTCTTAGATACATATGGAAAGCTCTTTCTCCTCAATTCTGTGGGTCAAGAGATGTCCCGCTGCAAGACATCCATTCGACGTGGTCAGCCCAATCCTGTCTATAAGGAGACCTTTGTTTTCCAGGTGGCTCTCTTTCAGCTCTCCGATGTCACGTTGATGATTTCCATTTACAACAGGCGTACTATGAAGCCTAAAGAGATGATTGGTTGGATTGCTCTGGGCCAAAACAGTAGTGGCGAGGAGGAGCTAGACCACTGGGAGGAGATGAAGGAGACCAAAGGCCAGCAGGTCTGCAGATGGCACACCTTGCTTGAGTCCTAGGCTGGCCAACATGTGTCTATGTGCCACATCTGCCCTGGTGACCCTAGTTGTTGACTACTAACACCAACTCAGTGTGTGCTGGTAGGCTGTTTAAAGACAGGCTTTCAAATAGGGATTGGATCCTGTTAACCCTAGAACATTCTGTATGTGCTGGGTGGGGTGGGGGATGGGGATCTTTGGTTTCTCTGAGGTTTGATTTGGATTTAAGTATTGTGATTTTTTGAAAATTCTATGTATACAGTCATCTATGTGGAAAATGTTACTCTAGTGGCAAGCACTGATGATGAGTTAATTTGTGTTAATAGGTTATTGAGTTTTGGTTCAGGCTATGGAATGAAGCTTCCTTCTCCTGTCTCTTTTCTGTTTGCTTGAAGAGTAACCTCAGATTGCAAGGGAGCTGTTACATGTTACTATTTGTAACCGCTTATGCATATGAATCAGAATTTTCTTAATATGGTGCAAAAAAACCTCTAAAATACAGAAGTGAGTCAGACACGGAGGCTCAAAGAAGAATGTAACTGTCACCCATAGTCCCTTATTCCACCTTTTTCTCTCTATCAAGAAATCCCCTCATTTATTTACCTAACAAATAAATGTCATGGACTTGCACTTGTAAAACAAATTTGTATTAATTAAATACCTCTTTTTATCTCATATATTGTGGTTTCCTATGAGGTTTGGCTAGAGAAATCATTTTGAAGTTAAGGAATAGTTCAAAAACCACTGTTAAGACAATCTATCTCCTTGAATATATAAGATTTCAAGCTTGTAACTTGCAAGGTTTTATGCTCTTTTTCTCACCTAATAAATTCTTACAGAATATGAAGAAAATCCAAAAAAACCTATTTAAGTCGTGGGTTTATTGATTTTTCTGAATCTAGTGTTTTCCTCTTACATTATCCTTTTTCTATATGCAGTTATATACACAGACATATATTTTGAATGTATGCCTGCATGTAAACCATACTTTTTACGCAATATTTTCCATCATTAGAACGTCGCAAATTGTAAACAATGGTTCTTGAATAATGTTTGATTTGATAGACTCTTACAAATGGACATGTTTAAATACCTGCGAGTGAGAAATAGATTCAGCTTGTAAGGAATAACACTTAATTTTTCTTGGAGCATTTGATATGCCTATAATTGTCATTTTTCACGGCATCCGCAGCAACATATATGAGTCACTGCCTGCATCTGGGCATGAGCCGCAGGGAACAGGGATGCTGCACGGTTATGAGCGTGACATTTTACTTCCGGCCGACTTTGATACATTTGTGCAGTGCATGTTTATTTAGTTTTTCTTAGAGCTGAGTCCTAAATTTCAATTACTTTAAATTGGCAGTCATAAGAAAAGGTAAGGGATGTGTGTACATGTAACACTGTGCCCATGGGCAGCTCTTCTAAGCACTTGCTCAGGCACTTATTTTTAGCTTTTATGTTTCATTGTTGACTTTTTGCTGTCTGTGGGAAGAGTGATAGCTAGTGATGGATGTATACACTTAAAAACACACAACTCCTCCTCAGCTCTGCATTTTGACAGATTGTAAACGTAGGCTGTAACCCTTGAAGAACATATTTATTCCGTACAGCCTGTCATGGTTATCCTGACAAGCCCAGATGAAGGCACAGGATAACCCTGCCATGATTTCAGATTCCAACTTTGGAAAGATGTACTTTCATAGGGAATGATCAGAATAAGCAAAATAAATTAATATCTTAATTTCTTTTCAGGTCATGGGAGTTTCGCATACAATGCCGCTCAGTTAATAAGTAATAAAACCGTGCTCCTCTGGGTTTGTACCCCGTCTTCCTCTGGAAGACCTCAAAGTGCTTTGCCAGCATCATATCCATTAACTGCTGAGTGGTCTTTGCAGTGTGGCTGTGTCATCCAGTAGAACTGAGTGCAATTGATTAAGTAGCGGCACAAAGAATTGGCTTTTCACATCCCTTACTCTCTTTATGTGCTTGTGTTTAAAGGGAAGTAGAGCAGCCCTGTTATGCCTTCTTTATGTACCCACATAAAAGCAGTATTCACTTTAAAATTTACATTTGAAAAAAATCTGCATATATTGTACAGATAGTCCTGGATGTCCTCCCCCCTCATAGTTCCCTGCCCCGTGTTTTGCTGCATCTCTTACCGCATGGTGCCCAGTAATCACCTCTATCCCTTCTCTGCTGCCCTGACCCTCCCATTTTTAAGGTTTTCTGCTGGTATCGTCAAGATATCTTTGTGTGTTTGATCTCTTTTCCAGTAGTCTGCTTATGACATACAGTTCCAGAAATGTGCAGCCGTTTAAGGGAAGGGATGCCTGAAAAGCACTTTTTATTTTTATAACTTTACACTATTGGTGCTACTCATCATGTGGGATGTATGTACATCGTGAATATACAGCCACATCCACCGCAAAGCTGACGTATAAATATAAAATGCTAGTGACAAGATACATTAAAATTCGAGGCTGGATTTTTTTTTTTTTTACATTGATTTGAAATGCTGGTTTAGTAAGATCTTTCGATTTTGTGCACTTACACTCCCTTATTTTCTTGGCAGTCTAGACATGATGCATTTAACATGTTTTCACTCGAGCTTTTACATCTACATTTGCTTTGCAAAAGAGTTATGAAAGATAATTAGTTGGTTCTGAAGTGCAAAAGCCACTTGCATGTATTTTATCTAGCTCATAATTAATCTCTCATAGGGACATTTGAAATTGAGGAAGCATCAATATTGTTGCATGAGTAGTTCTCGCTATGTTTTTTTCCCAAAGAGGTGCTTTTTAAGGAAGATTGTGGAGAGAAATGGAGGCACTGGGTTTGTGGAAATCAGCTTTCTAGTGTGCCTTCTCGCAGGGCGTGCGTTCATACTGGATCGTGAAGCGCTGGTTTTACCCGGCCCGGGGGCGGCTCCCGTGCTCCCCGCCACCCTTCTGACTGCTGTCAGATTTGTAAATGGGCCATTCACCAGGCAGCTGAACACCTGCTCTCGCACTTCTCCCTCCTCCACTGGGTCCCTGCGTGATGCGCAGTTGTTTGGGATCTTGTTTTTGCTGATGTTGCATAACTGTGAGGGGAGGTCTCGCCTCCCTACCAGAAATACTTGTAATGCCGTTAGTTGCATTACACGCAGCATTCTACCCACACGGAGTTTAAGAAAGAACCCTCACCATGATTTCAAGGGGGAAAGAGAGTATGGTACTGCATTGACATTTTTCTCTCTGCTCCTCCTTCAAAGGCAGTAATTGACCCCAGACGTTGAGATCCGCCGTCGTGCTAGGTGCTAGAGGCAGGCTTGCACAGTATTTTAAAAACTGTTGACCCCTCTCGGTCAATAACCATGCTTTACATCCTGGCTGCACTAGATCTGAGAATCAAAACTCTTTTCTTTTTAAGTAATGCGTTATTTAAGTTGAAATTGCTATCAGGTTATATGAAAAGGCTTCTCTGATAGCCAATGAATTGATTAAATTGGTGGTTCACTGTGGACTTTGAATCGAGTTTCCCCAAAGCCTGGCTATCCTTTTGCAGCGGAGAACTCAGTACATTAAGATCAGATAACCAAGCAGGAAAGGATTATTTGTAGATGCCATAAAACCCAATGAAGGCGTATTCATTAATGATAAAGAAATCACTATAAACTCATGTGGCATCATCTCCTCTTACTTTAAGGACACTGTGGCTAAAGAACATACATTCCTTAAAAAAGTCAATCTTTTATTCCAAAGGGAAAAGCTGTGAAAACTATGAAAAAAACAAGCAATCATATAGCATGTGTATAGAAGAATTAAAGAATAAATAAATAAGTTGGCTAACTTTAGCATCTACCAGCATATACCCAAGAAGAGTAAACTAATAATCTAAAAGACATTTCAGAGAGAACTAGCTGTCATTTTATCATACCTCATGGAATTATGAAAATTACTTAAAGATGAGGGAGATGAGGCTAGCCTGAGAACTCAGGGAGGTTGGCACAGGCTGTGGGCTTAGCCTGGGTATGGGGGTAGCTCTGCTAACTGTGCAGCCTTAAGAAAATGACTTATCCAGCCTATATCACAGTTTCATCAACTGGAATAGAAATAATATCTACCTCATAAAGTTTTTAAAAGACATTAGAGAAATATCCACATATAGTAAGCATTCCGTGCTTCCCCCTGACAATCATGCTTTTAAAAAAAGGTATTTAAGATTTGTTTCTGTGTTTAGTGAAAGCAATAGTGACACTAGAGGAAAGATAAAATTTCTCAGATACTTTAAAAAAGGATAGGTTCATGGAGCTTGTCTGAATTTGTAAAGAGAGGAAGTTTCACTGGGGCAACCTAAGAAGAGATAAGTCTGTATATGGAGGCTACTGAGTCTTAATAAATCCCCTTTGAGGTATAACAACCAAATCTTTGTTTTGGGGTATTTTTTGCCCCCCCCCCCCGAGGTTTCAAGGAGACACAAAATTTTAGTGCTTATATGCATGTTGTAATAAATCACACTAAGGTCTCTCCTCATCCCTAGCTCTTCTCCATGATTGGTACCTGGACAGAGCACCTTGTCACCATCAAAAGAGTTGGTGATCTGAAAACTAAGATAAATGGTGTGGTACTATATTGATACCTTGCTTAAAACAGACAACACTTTTTTGGACAATATTATATATCTAAAATGATATCCTTATAGGCAAAATGTTAAATGATCTAATCATGCAACTATCAAAACATATAAAACTAGTTGGACTAGAAAATTCCATTCCGGACCAATTATTTATTACTGTTTCCTTTAAGAGATCTTAATGAAATGAATTTCATCAGAGGATACTAATGGAAAGTTTTAAGATTGACTTGTTGATATAACGAAGTATGTTCAGTTGTTCTTAAGTGCTCAAACCTTGGGTAAAGAGGCAAGTTTCCCGAGGATTTAGAACATGCTCTGTGGACATTTGATCTGAAGAGCGGTCCGTAACTGACCTCCTCAAGTTTAGTGTAACAGGTGCCATGAGCCAGTTATGGACTATCTGTGTTTTTAAACTAAGCATGGTTCTGGGACGGGGAAGTGTAAGGCTATATTCCCGATATTGCCAAATTGCCAATGTGCTGATT